TCTCGAGAGTAAAAGGAGGGATCGGTGTACTACAATATTGTTATGAGATAATGTTTAAAATATTAAGCAAAAATAGAGCAACAGAAGTATCATTTTGGGATAAATCAGACAATTTTATGTTCTTCTACTTCACATTAACCAACACTAAATGTTTTTCAACTTTTCTAAATTAGTTCTTTCTCAATAAATGATGTTTCTCGTGACCACTTGAGCAGTTGTGGGATTGTGGGAAGTATAAGCATCAAATACCAATTGACTCACAGTTTACCTGTAGCATAATCAATTTTTGATTTGCAAGGCAAACTAGAAATTTCAGAAGAAAATCGATGTGAACCGGAAAAAGACCTTTAGCTCATAAGTGCATCACACGGTTACAAAACATTTAGCTCATAAGTGCACTAATATTATGTTTCTGTTAGATGTACATTATTTATATGCATTAGGTATATTATTTTAATCCATAGGGTACACTATTTTAATTCATGATTTATGAGTACTTTCTGATTTGAAACTTGTGTTTCTGATTGAGGTACATTATTTATGTTAAGTTGGTACATTATTTTAATGAGTTAATACTCAAAATCGTCCTCGACTATAGTGGTTTTTCTCAATTTCGTCCTAAACGACTTTGGTGACTTAATATCGTCCCAGACTTTTGTGTTTCGTGCAATTTAGTCCCAGACTTTTGTGTTTTTGCTCAATTTAGTCCTTCATTTGTTATTCTGTCCATTTGGTGTTAAAAAAAAATACACAATTAAGTAATTTTAATATTGACATCTCTTTACTCATAGACATGCGAACTGCGATTTTTTTTTTTTTTTTTTTTTTACGAATTACTCCCAGAATTACTCATAAAACTGCGAATATAAAATTTGATTTGCAGGTCCGGGAGTAATTCTGGGTGTAATTCGTACAAGAAAGAGGAATTTCGCACTTCACAAGTTGAAAATAAAGAGAGATCAATATTGACATTACTGAATTGTCCCTTTATTTAACACCAATTTGACTGTATAACAAATGGAGGACTAAATTGAGCGAAACACAAAAGTCTGGGATGATGTTAGGTCACCAAAGTCGTTTAGGACGAAATTGAGAAAAACCACTATAGTCGAAGACGATTTTGGGTATTAACTCTTATTTTAATTTATCATTTTTGTGTGCATTCAGATTTGAAAGTTGTGTTTTTTATTAAGGTACATTATATCTGTTCATTAGGTACATTATTTTAATCCACAGGGTACCCTCTTTTTATGCATGATTTATTCGTACATTTTGTAGTGCATGGAGTTTATTCTTTTAGTGAATATCTCATATCTTTGTAGAGCATGACTGGATTTATTCGGCACACACACCCCCCCCCCCCCCTCCCTCTACTTAGAAATCTGATATTCACTAAACATAATATCAATGGCTGGGTACAGTATTTTAATTCATGATTTTATGAGTACTTTTAGTGAATAGAGCATGGCTGGATTTATTCCATTAACTAACATTTTACTTGCAGCAAATATGTCTAGCCAAGAAGTAGATTTATCATTAAAAGAGGTTACCAAAACTTACCGGAAAAGGAAAAGATCTACAAGTAATGAAGAAGACGGAAATAAAGAAAAGGCCGCTAATAGGACTGCAAAGAAAGAAAAATGTTACTAATAGGACTGTAAAGAAAGAAAAGGCTCCAAAGAAAATTCAGCTCAAGACTAGGATGTCACCAATGGAGTTTAACAAAATGGTGGCAAATCTCAGTGATGAACAAAAAAATGCGGTTAAAGAGATTGGGTTTGGATCATTACTCGAGCTTAGATTGTCCAGCATGGACAATACACTAAATACATATTTGGTAGAAAACTATGATGTTTTTAGTTGTAATCTAATGTTGGAGAGTGGAAAGATGGAGCTCACAGAGGATGATGTGGAGAACACATTAGGTCTCTTCAAGGGTGAGGTTGAAGTTGTTGAAGGGAACAACTCAAATGTAACTAAAGAATACAAAATCCTGTTGGAGGAATGGAGAACACGCTGAGCCACGCTAATTGGACATCAAACTTCAAAGTTTTGTACTCATTGGTAGATGTGAAAAACATCAAGAATTTGAATTTGTGTAGGTACATTTTTAATAGTCTTACTACAACAGTGGAGAAATGGAAGAAGTCAAAAAGTACATTCTTCACTGGACCATTGGTCTTCTTGATGGTAATACTTTTAATTCAATTTATGTTGCTTATTCTATTAATGCATTTTTTGCTTTCATACTAATTTTTTTAATTTTTTTTTTATTTAGGTTTCATACCTTGATAGGCTGCAATTTAAAGTGCATGTTTTTAAAGAACACCTGCAAATGTAAGTACTGTGATTTAAAGTGCCTGTTTTTCATTTTTATAAATACCTAATTGGACTTATATAACTGCCATTTTGTTTGAATATACATGCAGGCAATATTCTTGATATCTTTGAGGGCAAAATATGCTGCCGACATATTATTTTTACAAATGAATGAGCACAAACAATCCATACTACAGGTGGCCCGGGATCTTTATAAGTAGACAATGAGCATTGTAATTGATGGTTCTAAAACGTTAGATGAATATTGTTGGTTTTTGTGTTAGATGAAATTTTTGTTTGAACAATTCAGAGATGATGCTGAATTGGGTGCTGGAATTGTTCATTTGAACTGTTTGCTTTTCATTATGAGTTAATTGCTTTTCATTGTGGAGTTAATTGCTCAATTAGCAGAAGCTATTGTGGAGTTAATTGATTTTCACAACAGAACATGCAAATACTTTATTGTAACACAAAAAACAATAATAAAAAATGAATCATTCCATCAATATAATTAAAAAACAACTAATAATAAGTAGATAATAATAAAAAAACTTTTTTTTTAAAAAAACTTGGAATTGAAGAACTTTCATCCATAGCATTAGAAAGAACTAGCTTGAGCTCCAATTGGTGAACTCTCATCTGCTGCACCCCCGAAGTGCCATCAACGGTAAATAATTTACATTAAGCATATAAATAATATATCTAATAAACACAATATGCATGTTCAACAATGTAGTATATTTTGCACAAAAATAATGTACTCTATGAACAAATATTATGTACCCTGTGAATAAAAATTATGTACCCTCATACAACCAACGAAACAAACTCTAGGCACAATAGATCAAAGCATTATGAAATACAAACCTGGAATTGATTCAACATCAATGAGAGAAATAGGTTCAACATGAATCAAAATATTCACATCTTCTACAATATAAAAAATACGCAATATTAATCAAAATTCAAAATAAAAACGAACCTAAATTGCATATAGACAATATACATACTTGTAATATCATAATCTAATTCAATCGCATCAACTGTGTTGTTTGAATTATTGATATTATCCATAATGACGGAGAAGAAGCAATTCTAGGAAAGAGAAAAATCACAGAGGAAGATGCAAATCGCAGAGTCGAAGCAAATCGCGGTGAATGAAGCAAATTGCGACGAACATGCGGCGAACGAAGAAGTTGCGGCGAACGAAGAAGTTGCGGCGAACAAGCAAATCGCGGAGGAGAAAACAAGACAATGACAGCGAAGGAGGATGAGAAAAGGAAACAATGGTTACGGCGAACGAAGGAAACATCAATAAACACTAACGCCGTTAAAATTAAATTTCCGTTTTTTTTTTTTTAAAAAATCAAACGGTGTAGTTTTGGACCATGGTCCATCCAATAACAATTGCTAACCACGTAATATTTATGCCATGGACCTGGGTTCACCTTGCAGGATCAATATGCTGTGTATCCGGATGCACAACATAATTTGCCCACCTTGCAAGGTGCACTTAAATCAAAATACCCACAATTTATATACTGAATGTTCACAATTCAAATTGTGAATATTCAGTATGTAAATTGTGAACCTTTAGTATATAAAATTGTGAGCATTCAATATATAAATTGTGTATTTTTAGCCCCGGGTCCACAGAATAATTTGACGAATACGGCAATTTATATCATGGACTGAAGTCTACATAGCATTATAAACTATATATTAAAACAATGAGGTACATAATTCATACTCGTAAGGTACATAATTTCCTAACACAAAATACAAAAATCACAACACAATACACGTAGCATAATGTTATGGATCCAACTGGATTGAAAAGACGATATACAACATTTATACTCGTAAGGCACAAAATTTCATAACATAAGACACAAAAAATTACTCCGTATAACACAAGACACATACACATATTATATATTTACTTATTTTTCAAATATGATTTAAATACATAATTTGTGTTCATAAGCACAAAATTTTACAACACAAGACACATAAATTTATAATATAAGACACAATTATTAATTTACATAATTTTATAACGTAGGACACAAAAAATTATAACACAAAACACAAACATATGAACTAGGGTGCAGTGCAATCGTTATACCCTATATCACGGCGCGCATAGCATTGTGCGCCGCGCGCCTCCCAAAACGACGTCGTTTTGGGAGGCGCGGTAGGAAGTTGCTGTGATTATGCATATTTGTTCATACAATTATGTATATTTGTTCATATAATTATGTACATTTTTTTATACAATTATGTACATTCTTTTTATACAATTATGTACATCCGAATCAGGAAATTTTTGTGTATTATGTTAAGAGTTGATGTGTATTATGTTAAAAGTTTATGTTTATTATGTATTATGTTAGATTATGTGTATTATTTTTTAAAAAAGAGTATGTATATTTTGTTATATATTCATGTATACAATTATGTGTATTCTAGTATAACATTATGTACATTTTTGAACATGGTTTTTTTTTTTAAAGAAAAATTAACTACCAAACACTGGGGCAGGAAATTTCAAAAAAAAAATAAAATTGAAACGACGTCTTTTTGTATCTAGGTGCACAGTGTAACGCGCGCCGTGGTGCAGGATATAAATTGTAAACCTGGTCCATGCGATAATGATTGCACGGGAATATGGTTTGGGTTCATAAATTTCCCTTTACTAGAACTGACCGGGTCGCCCATAGGAGTGTTCCCTGAATCAGCCCAATTCTTCTTCTTCTGAGCCGCGGACGCCGGACGCGGATGAAGCGTTGCGGGATGTTTCCTACCTGCAAAAATTTGGGAGAAAAGTATTGCTATGAGATTAAGTGCCTTTAAACCCCTATTTACACACTAATTCTCATCTTTTCTCCAGTTTTTATCTCAAAGAAATGGGGTTATGGATAGATAGCGGGTGAAGAGGTGTTTCCCGGGATGTTTCCTCCCAGGGAGCCCCCGGCCGCGCTCCAAGTATCACTATCAGAGTCACTGCGGTCAGCCTTATAAAATGGCGGGTGAGATACTTGCTACTATCTTTCCCCACTTTTATCTCAAAGAAATGGATATTGAAAGCCAGCTAACACCAGAGACTGCGGTACAGAAACCTGAAAAGAAAATCCCCAAAACGGTTTCCTGTAGCTCCTGCGATTCCTCAGAGAACCGTAAAACGGCCTCGAAGGATAAGCTAGAGGATCTCAGTAAAATAATCTTTCAGATAGGTGTTATGGCAACCGTTACTGTCGTCGTTGCCCTGGGAAACCAGGAATTGGAAGCTGTAGATCAGTTTTTCGTGTTGGGAAACATGTTGGGATGTGTCTGCATCTTTAGCGGCCTTCTGCTCCGAGAAATCACACCAAGATTTGCCAGGGCATATCTGGTGGTCGGAGTTGGCCTAGTATTTGCTGCCATTATCGTGCTCTTCTCAAAGCACTTGCTATGGTGGCTAAGATTCGTGCCAGCGGTCTGCTACCCCTTTGTGATCATGGCGGTGCTGGCTGTGGCTGCCAAAGGTGAAGAAGGGTAAGAGACTAAGAGGAGCTTTGAAATCAGACAGTGGGATTTGTGTGATTTATTTCTAATTTCATGAGATTTGAAACATTTAATTTAATTTGTGAATTGTGATATTTGTGTGCTCTCTTTCTAATTCTATTTGTATTTGTGATTTGTTTCTTGTTGCTTCCTGAATTTTCTTAGCAATTTCTTTGATATTCTTTGAGTAGTACGGATTCTGTTAGAATGTAATATCTGTTCATATCTACTTTCTCAATGTTACCCCACTTTTGTGTGATTTATTTCTAATTCTAATTGTATTTGTGATTTGTTTATTGTTGCTCTGAATTTTCTTAGCAATTTCTTTGATACTTTGAGTAGTAAGGACTCTGTTAGAATGTTAGAATGTAGTCTCTGTTCATATCTACTTTTCTCAGTACTGCCCTAACTAGAGCTCAAACTCATGACCTCCCGTTTGGAAAAGTCACTTCATGCCCCTAGACCACAAGGTCATTGGAAGTAATTTAGTACTTATATTTATAGAAATTTACTTACAAAAAATTCTTTTGAGGAATCATTTAGCCAAGGTAGTTTGTGTTGGGAAACGTATTGGGATGTGCTTGCATCTTTAGCGGCCTTCTGCTCCGAGAAAGCACACCAAGATTTGCCACTTGCCAGAACGGCATATCTGGTCGGAGTTGGCCTAGTATTTGCTGCCATTTTCGTGCTCTTCTCAAAACACTTGCTCTGGTGGCTAAGATTCGTGCCAGCGGTCTGCTACGCCTTTGTGCTCATGGCGGTGCTGGCTGTGGCTGCCAAAGGTGAAGAAGAGTAAGAGACTAAGAGGAGCTTTGAAATCAGACAATGGGATTTGTGTGATTTATTTCTAATTTCATGAGATTTGCAACATTTAATTTAATTTGTGAATTGTAATATTTGTGTGATTTATTTGTAATTCTAATTGTATTTGTGATTTGTTTATTGTTGCTTTGTGAATTTTCTTAGCAATTTCTTTTTTGAGTAGTGCTAACTCTGTTAGAATGTAGTATCTGTACATATCTACTTTCTCAATACTGCTCCGACTAGAGCTCGAACCCATGATCTCTCGCTTGGAAAAGTCACTTCATGCCTCTAAACCACAAGGTCATTGGCACTCGGCAGTAATTTAGTAATTATATTTATAGAAATTTACTTTAAAAAATTCTTTTGAGGAATCATTTAGCCAAGGTAGTCTGTACATTTCTATTGTGCATACTCCTTGTATTGATTAATTTAGAATAACTTAACTTGAAGTTGATCCAGTTATAAGAAAAAAGTATTTATGGTGGGGTCAGGGGTGGTTCATGAAAATCATACTTTGATTTATAATGTATTTATATTTAAGCACACACATGCGCCTATGTACATATGAATGTATTTATAGCCTGATGTAGCCATCCTCGACCGGATGTATTCTATTTTGATAAGTTATGTTAATTGTCTTCAATTTTGATCCCATATTAGATTTCTTAAATTGCATTCTTTGTTATATTCATTATATCTTAATTGTTCAACTTGGTATTTTGTTGTATTTATTTTAAAATATGGAATACTCACAACATGGTGTTTGGGCTTAAGTCTGATTTGAATCTAACTGGTGTTTAATGAAATCCTCTGGTTTTTTATACAGAGACTCATTGGAAGAGTTATTCTATTGCATAATATGAAATGGGACAAGTCATGAAGTCAATATAGTCACCGGTATCAACCACTACAGAAGAGCTAATTGCAACATCAATATCTGGGATCTAAAGGTAAAAATCCTCTCATTTTTGACATTAAACTCTATCAACTGCAAGCTGTAGATCAAGCTAAAAATTTCCCCTTTTCATCAATTGAAATCTTGAATATGTTGATTCGCAATTTGGATGGTTTCTTGGGATCTATTCTATTGCAATGCACATATCTCTGTTAACCTTTTTTTTGTTTTTCCTTCTAATAATTATTTAAAAATTATACCTTTTGTCCTCGATTGAAATTCTCAATATTGAGATTTGCAAACTTTTGGTTGAAAATTTATTTATTTGTTTTTGCATTTTAATATGAGAAATCAGAGGTACAAGTGATTTGCAGTTTCTATGGAATATTTTATGCATTCAATGCCCCTGTGGTGTATGTTGCTATTCAGGCCACCCTTTCCCTGTATGACACTGGTTGTACATCTGGTAAGCATTATCGTTACATTTTTTGACTTTAACTTTATGTATATATGGATTCTTTACATACTGAAATGAGGATTTAGACTGTAATGATAAGTTGGTTATCAGACATCCATTTTCAAATTTTCTTGAGAAAATGGGTTAAATGGTGGATAGAGATGTACTTACTTTTCAGGTGGTAGTGTGGTACTAATCAAACATACTATGAAATCAAAATTGAATCATGTGGCTGCCACTAATATGATCTTTTGATGGGCCATTATGATTCATTGGTCCTTTCAAGTTCTTGCTTCTAGAGCTTCGCTTCGCTTCTGATCAGGCACATAAATTTGCTGGGAAATATACATGTTAGAAGTATCTTTTGTAACGAAGGGTATTCACAGCTTAAAGGACCTGAAATTGCTTCAGAGCATAGAGATCTATTGTACCTTTTGACACTTTGTTAATTGGCATTTTTCAAAGAATCCATTTCCATTATTCTTGGAGGCGAAAGGTTATTCTCAAAAAAGCCTTCTGCAAGAACCTAAAGCTGGTGTAAGTTATCATTTAAATGCTTTTTGTTTTGTGTTTATCAATGAATAATTCTTTGTAGGTTTCTGCTTTAATGTTTGTAGCTAATCAATTAAGGGTATAGGTCTGAGGTGAAAATGTATCTACCCATCACTGGAATGTTTTAACAGAGTGTAGAGCTAATATATGATGCTGATATGTATGAAACATTCTTTTACTTGCCTTTAAAGATTGTTCAATCAAAAAAGGTTGTCATGCAAGGCCTTCCGATATAATGGCTCCATGCAACTAAATGTTTCATTCTTGTCTGTGCCCTGCCAGAAGATGAATGGTTTGTGGAAACTGCAAAGAGAGCAATAAACAAGCTTCTGTAGTTCTGTTGGGTGGGTCTGGATCAGATACGTCAGAGATTTACGATTTACGACGAAGAACATATAATTCACGACGAGTTTATCTTGGATTCCGGCTCACCTTCTTTGCTCTCGTCTCTGGAAAGTTCCGAGTCTTTTGCTTCAGCGCATTCGGGCGATTTTGGTAGCCCAAGTTTCACTGATTCTGAGAACTGAGTCTTGATTGTTGGTAGGTAAGGTACCTTTGAATGGCATAGATATGATGTTGTAATGTTAGAAATGAGGGTAGGGCAAATGAGGTAGAGAGATTGTTTGTTGTGCAACTATGTAATTCAACAGTAACATTTTATTTTATTTTTAAATATAAAAATATATTCATCCCTTTGATGGATGTCAGTCAATACTAGCTTAGGATAGGTCCCAAGATTTTTTAAATCAAGCAAATAAGTTTTATTGCAATATTTAATTATTTGAGAAAACAGAAAGAAAAAGTTATGTTTTCAAAAAAAAAAAAAAAGTTATTAAGGAATAACAACAGTTTTTTATTTTACATCATTTACTTTAGATTGTACATATATTTTTTGAATGTATATTTTATTTTAATTTTGTGAAACCAATCAAACACATACTAAATAAACAACAATAATGAAGTCACAATTGACAAGAATATAGAGAATGTGAGATTTTATCAAAATTTCAGTAAAATAAAATTCAATTCTTGACTTATTCAATTTTCAATAAAATATATTTTTTATTCCTCTAAAATTTGTTTTGTGAACCATACACATTATTAATGAAAATAAGATAAAATATCAAAATATTTATTTTGAAAACTAACAATAATAATAATAATAATAATAATAATAATAATAATAATAATAATGCACATTTATATAAGTATCATAGTTTTGAGGGCTAAAATATAATACTAAAAAGGATGTGATCTTAAGAGATACTCCGTATATACAAACGTGAGGATCAAGGCAAAAATTTAAAATTTTCCCGTTACTAGATAACGGACAATTTAGTTTTAGGAAACCTTAACACCTATTTAATGGCGACTGCAGTGTAAAGTGTAAACCCCATTCTTCTTTCTCTGTCTTCTCTCTCGTCTTGGTTAAGCTCTCTGATGGCGGTTGAAGCCAATTCCAACATTCTCCTCCTCCCAGAATTCTCCGATTTCATACCATTGGGCGATTTCATGAATACTAAGCCAAGGTTGGCCGGACAGAGCATTCTCCCGTTCAATAGATCTCGGCCGCCGGTGAAGACTGCGGTGAATGGCAGCGCCGGAAATAGTCATCGGCTTCAGGTGAAGCGATCTAGAGATTCTCTCCATCTCTATAATCCTTCCCCTGTTTTCGCCTCTGCCAAGAACACACAAATCGTGAAGCATCATGTACGTACACACACATATTTGATATTTACAGAGGTTTTAATTTTTGTGTTTTTCTGATCTTGAATTTGTTTTGCAGGCGAAGAAAGTGAGGATGGAATTGGAGGAGAGGCAGAAAGAGATCGGAGAAGGGATGGTGAAGAAACTGAGGGAGAAAGACGAAGAGATCCAAAGAATGAAGGAGAGGGTGAAGAGCCTCTACGTGGAGAATCATTCCCTCCGAACCAATCTGGAGCAAGTCCTCGCCCACGTCGCCGCCGACGAGCGCGTCTCCTGCCCCGCCGTCGCGCCGGTGGAGGAAGACGCCGAGTCTTGCTGTGGAAGCACCGATCACGGCCGCGGAGAATCGAGTGTGTTGTTGCTGCCGTGTCGGCATCTCTGTCTCTGCACAGTTTGTGGGTCCTCCCTGGTACGATGTTGCCCAGTATGTAACTCTAACATGTCTTCTTGATGATAAAAGAAAAAAAAAAAAAAAAGCAGAGAAACAGATTTTACGGATTAGTCCTTTTTGTGATAATGTAAAAAATTAGATTTCTCTCCATGGTCAAAGACTCAAAGACTTTATGATCGTCTTCTTATAAATGGAGGTCACAGATTCAAAAGATTTCTCTGTAAATTCTTTTTCTTCAACACTAGTGAATTAAAATTTTCATTTTTTTGAAATTGAGGAAGTATATCAATTGTGATAATAAATATGGGTTTTATCTTTTACTGTCAAACAGAGCCTAAGTCTGATTTGAATCTAACTGGTGTTTAATGAAATCCTCTGGTTACTCTTCAGGTGCGTTAAATGTAGGATATATATGTACTTACTCTTCAGGTGGTAGTGTGGTACTAATCAAACTTACTATGAAATCAAAACTGAAGGGTCCTTGCAACTTCTAAATTGCTTCTAGAGCTTCAATTCGCTTCTGATCATGCACATAAATTTGCAGGGAAATATACATGTTAGCAATATATTTTGTAACAAAAAAGGTTATTCACAGCTTAAAGGACCTGAAATTGCTTCAGAGCATAGTCTATTGTACCTGTTGACACTTTGTTAATTGGCATTTTTCAAAGAATCCATTTCCATTATTCTTGGAGGCAAAAGGTTATTCCCAAAAAAGCCTTCTGCAAGAACCTAAAGCTGGTGTAAGTTATCATTTAAATGCTTTTTCTTTTGTGTTTATCAATGAATAATTCTTTTTAGGTTTCTGCTTTAATGTTTGTAGCTAATGAATGTATCTACCCATCACTGGACTGGAAAGTTTTAACAGAGTGTAGAGCTAATATATGATGCTGATATGTATGAAACATTCTTTTACTTGCCTTTAAAGATTCTTCAATCAAACAGCAGGTCAGGTGCCCTCAGAATCCCTGCTCGGAGGAGGTAAATCCCAAGTCGCTCTATTAGTCCTCACCTTTGACCTCTGATCGGTCTTCCAATGACCTCCCATGCTCGGAGTAAGGTTTTAGGATGATCGGTCGAACCAGCTGAGTTAGTCCCGCGGGGTTTCCCCTTTGCATTTGGGCTCTATACTTTGAGCTGTCACATAATATACTTTGTGTAATGAATTTGGTGAATTTACATTCACACTGAATGTTTCAATGCCATCTATCAATTTCCAGAAAAATATTGATAGTACGATACAAATATGAATCAGAATAGGTTAATACATTACATTCCTCAGATGCCACTTACAGTTCATAAGTAACTGTGAAACTAACCTGATTGACATACTTTGTGTTGGTGGCATATTCAACCCTGTTCTAATGCTATATGTTTGCTTTAATTTCTACTTTTTAAATTTACTCATTAATCTGCTTTTGCTGGACACAGGCACACAGCACTGCCATTGACAAAGATGAGTTTTGTTATTGGATGTGTTACTGTAACTTGTTTGTCAGTGTGTAATAAACATGAGTTGAGGCCAAAGACCCTATTGTCCAATGGCACCAAGTTGCTTTTTTATAGGGGAGGTTGTGGGTTCGAGGCTCAGTGGAGATGATATTGGCTGAAAAAATAATTACCACCGCGTTTTTTTTAAGCTATTAGATTTGGACACGTGTCGCTTATTCGTTCGTATATTCCTTCCTAGGCACTTATTCGCACCTGAGTGCATCCCTATAAAATCGCACTCAGGTGCGCATGCTTCGCCCAGGAGCGAAATAAGAATGGATTCTGTCTGTCCACGTGTCCAGATCTAATGGATGAGAAACATTGATTTTTTTTTTTTAAAAAGCGCGGTGGCATTTTCGTAAATAATTGAACATCGTAGTGCAAGTAAAATGTATTACAAGTGCATGTAAAATATATTATAGGTGCAAGTAAAAATTTACACTGAGCATCAATACTAAGTGCACATATAGTTATAAGTAGTTATACATATATTTCTAAGTAGTTGCACAAATAGTTATAAGTAGTTGCACCTAGGTGCATGAGTCCGTAGTATTAAAAAAAAAAAAAACATGAGTTGAGAATCATTAAAAAAAAGTTGCATGGTTCATTAATTTAATTATATTTTGTATCTAAAATCTAAAAACATAATAAGTGTGAATGAAGGTTAAACCATTCATTTATGTTCGTTTTTTTTTTTTGTTAATTTTTTTTATACATTATACTATAACCGTTCTGTTATATTTTTCACTATTGTTACCATGCACATGCATCCACCATATTAGAGTTATATACAAGGGCGGACCTAGCATGGGGGCAGCTGCCCCCACTCACCCCATCCCCACCCCATATATAGTCTTTGTATATATGTATGTATATATAGTACACGTTTTTATGATATGTAAATAAAAACGAATAACTGTAAACAATGTACTCCCTCCGTCCCGAATTGGTTGTCTCATTTGCTTTTTGCACGCTTTTTAAGGAATTAAAGTAAATGTTATGTATTTTCCAATTATGCCCTTCACTTTTTCACTTTTGGAAATAAAAGCAAAAGTCATAAGGGTAATTTGGGAAAAAGTAGAATGATGGTGATGTTCAATTTTGGAAAGAGGACAACATTTTGGGACAAACTAAAAAGGAAAGTAAGACATGCAAAATGGGACAGAGGGAGTATTTTGTAGAGTAGTTGGTAGAGCCGTGTTTCACCATTAGTAATGGTCTGGGGGTCGAATCCCTCAATGCCAACCTTCATTGTTTTGGCTTTCAACAGTTGTATGGGGGTCGAATCCCCAAATGCTCACCTTTATTGTTTTTTGTCTTTCAACAGCTCACAGCTTAATGGATATATATATATATATATATATATATATATATATATATATATATATATATATATATAGGCTTCGAATCTGGTGCACCCCCTTTGATAAATGAGGTCATGAGAACTCATGCTATCCATTGATTAATTTTCCATCAATGGTTCAGATAATTAGAGATTATTAAAAGAAGAAAGGATATATATTAACCAAAAGGATTAAACTGTAATTGTACTTATTGAACTATTTATGGCATTAATTGTAATGGAATCTTAAGCATTAAATTAGGGATATAATGTATGGTAATTGAGGAGATGGATCGTTTCATCAACAGCATACACGTAGTAAACTTTAAACGCGTGAATGATACTGATAGTGCAGAAGGACGAGAGTCAGAAAACGCAGCACAGAGAGAACTAAGAAACACACTTCAATAATGGCTGGACCAAGCACAGGTATTTGCATTCGTTCATAGTGGCGTGTGCGTAATATATGTATTTGCATTTCTTACTGGTTTTGTTGACTTGATGAACGGCCGACGAAATACCGGTATCTTTGAACCTCTCGAAGCAGCATTTACGTGTAATCGTGGATGCATACCAGAGTCTGTAACCCTTCCGGCTTTAGTACGTCATGTATATATAATGGGAGCTTAGGGGCCGGGTTCGTGGAGTAACAATAGGCAGTGCAGTATAGATGATTAGATACTATGTTGGTGCGTAGTCGTGTGTTGGTCTGTGCATATTACCAATAGGAACGTTACTAATGTTTTGGTTGATGGGAATAGCTGACTATCAATTAGGTCTATCTCAGAACCTCAGGAAACAGCTGGCGCGTGGTAGCGTGGATGCATATAAGCATGTGCTACCCGTCCGGGTTTATGACATCAAGTATATATGATGGGAGCTTAGTGGCCGGGTGCGTGTAGTATTAATCATCTGTGCATTATACTGATGTTATGCGGTGGGGCCGTGGTTGTTTTTTTTTTTTTTTTTTTTTTTTTTTTTTTTTTTTGCGTAGCAGTGTATTAACGTTTGCAAGTTAGGGTGTGGTTTAGTTGATAATTGGCGCTATTAGTTATATTTTCCGGTCTTCTTCATTTAGGCTTTGTGCATTTTTCTTGTTGAGTTGAAGCGCCTACATTTACTTATAACCCTCACGTGAACAAACTATTTTTTTTCTTCTTTTTTTAGGCGGATGCATCACTGTTTTCGTGTTGATGCGTTTTTTGGGGGTTGCCTTGTTTGGTGTGGTTGTTTGTGCGTAGCAGTGTCTTACCGTGTACAAGATAGGGTGTGGTTTAGTTGCTAATTGACAATATTATTTATATTTTCATGTCTTTCTCATTTAGTTTATTTGCGTTTCTGTTGTTAGGTTGATGCGTGTGTGTTGTTTGGTTGGTGCGTGGACCAAGCGATTCATGAGCAAGAAGGTTTAATTAAAATTAGATGACCTAAAAATTAATTGAGAACTGGATCTGTGTGTAAATTAATTTAGTTCTAGATACACACATTTGCTTTGTATCACTTACCCCCTGAATAACATTATTGCACAAACTGATTAAAATAACGAAGGGGGAAATAAAAAGCAACCACTCCGTAAAAAAGAAAAACGGGAAACATCTAAATCACGGGAATGTTGACATTGTAAACCGTAAACCAAACAAACGTCTAGGAGCAAAAAACAATCACACTAAAAAACAGTTTACATGGGAAGAAACACCAAATGGTTTATTCCGGCGCTGGTTGTGCGGGTTCATCAATAACAGCAGCAACCGCAGCCTGGGGCAAAGGATCAACCACATTGGCAGCACCTACCGGCTCAGCAATTACAGTAACTACCCGCTCAGGCGCAACAGCAACAACCGGCTCAGAAGGATCATCGCCTGGTAACGGCAAGAATTAATCAGAGTTACACCCCAAAAAAATGAAAAAGAAAAAAAAAACACAAGCCCGAACCCCGCACTGTTTAACTGTTCGTTTTTTAAACAAAAAACAAAGTCATTACAATTTATACAACTAAGTAACCAAAACAAGCAAATAATCAAAAACCATGTTAGTGCTAACAACAGAAACGCATCCACCAAACTATAGAAACGCACCAACCTAAATGAAAAAGACACGAAAATATAAATAACAGTGCCAAATAGCAACTACACCACAACCTATCTTGCAAACGGTAAGACACTGCTAAGCATAAACCACCACACCTAACAAGGCAGACCCCAAAAAAGCATCAACACAACAACAGTTGTGCACCAGCCTTAAAAAAAAAAAAAAAAAAAAAAAAAAAAAAAAAAAAAAAAAAAACCAAGCAGTAGCAATTCCCCAAAGAACTTAAGGGACATCAGGGAGTAATCATGAGAAAGAAAATAGTTTGTTCACGTGAGGGTTATAAGTAAATGAAGGCGAACCGACCCAACAAAAAAAACGCACCAAACCTAAATGAAGAAGACATGGAAATAT